CCCGGATCCGGCGATGGAAGGAGCAGATCGGGGGCGGAGAGGGTGAGATGCATCTGGCGACAGCCGCCGCCCAGGGGAGGCCGCACACCAGCGCCCGTGGACCGGCGCCTCCTCGTCCCCCGCGAGACCGAGGGCGACGCCTCACCAGCTCCGGCCGGAGTGGCCCGCCGCCCGGGCCACCCGACGCTCTCCGCCCGGGGACGCCGGCCCGGATGCCGAGCCCTCCACGCGAGGTGGAGCCGCCAGATCCCCCGCCGCCACCTTCATCGGTGTCGAGCGCACGCCGGCGCACACCTCTGGCGGCGGCGGAGGGTAAGGGGAGGGGGGAAGGAGGGGTGCGGCGGCGGCGATTTAGGGTTTCCCCCAAGTCGCCTCGGTGGAGACGACGCGGGGGCGGGGGGTATCGGTACCAATTCTCCTGAACAGGTTTAGCCAGGACCACATCCTTCTCGCCATGGAAAGCGGAGTTGACCTCAGAGAAGAAGAGCTTGGTGCTGTCGGCATCAGCAGAATGGTGACGATCCTCTGCTTGCTTAGCCGTGAAGTTGTAATTGATGCAGCCCCCTCCAAACTCCCAAAACTCACGGATCACTGGAACCTCCACCAGCTCAAACTGAAAAAAAAAGGTACAGTTATAATAGAGCATTGGGTTAACACACAATACACCCACCCACCCACACGCACCCACACTCTCTTACGAGAGAGGGAGAGAGGAGATACCTTGGTGCTGTTTGCTCTGTTGTACTTACGCAGGCAGGGCTACCTTTTGCATGGTGCCGTCCAGTCTTTTGCCTAAACGTGACTCTCTTCTCACGGAGTGCATTCCTTACCTCCAGCGCTTTATTTCCTCTGCCTCGGTAAACACTCCTCTTCCTCACCAAAATCAGCGCCGTACTCCCCATAATCGGGTTGAGAGAAAGTGAACCGAAACCTAAATCCGTGTTCCTCCATGTTGTCACCTTCTGGGGTGCTCCTCTCCTTGGATAGCGCGTGTGTGCCCAGCGGTGGCTTACTTGTATGCGTGCGTATGGACACGAAAGGCATCGAGAATCATGTGAATTACTTTCCCCTCCAGCAGTCTCTCTCTCGTTCTCACCTACCTCCTGTTCTTCCTCCTCACCCCGATCCCCTTCTTCCTCCAGATCCCAATCCTATCAGGGCGTGACACAGTTCTTCTCCTCCACGTCATGGCGGACAAGCGCAGGCAAGGTTTTGGTTACCGGTGGAAATTTCGAGATTTCCTATGGTTACCGTGTATTTCCATGTCCCTCGGTAAATCCCCATACGGAGCAAAAAATACCATTTTCTTGAAATTTTTGAATTTGAACGCTCGATTTATAGTGAAGTACGTAAGATCTAATTAATGCCATGAGAGTTGGTTCTGACGTGTTGGTAGCAACATAGTTCCTGTTTTCAGAGGCCTCTGGTTCGAATGTTCATTCATTCACTTATTTGAATTCAAAATTCAAATATAAAATTCATTTGAAATATTCTCGGTATTTCTCGGTAACCGTGGTAACCTTACCGGTCCCCCTTGGTAAAATTGCATCATTTGGTAACAAAAACCTTGAGCGTAGGAGCTCGCGGAGAGCGCCAGACCACCGATGACTCGCCATTGGCAATGTTGTGGTTGGAACACCATGATGTGTCGGCGCAATAGCTTGCGGAGAGTGATTCCTCGGTGTGGCGGTTGGCCCGCTGAAGCACGGGCTCGACGCGAGCCATTGGCTTCGAACAGGAGGTCGAAGGGCCGGTCGGAGGCACCACCGCCGCCGCCGCCAGCGTCCCTGCGGGAGGCAGAGCGCCAGAGAAGGAGATGGAGGCATCGGAGAAGTGCAGCTCTGCCACTCATCATCTCCCGAAATCGCATGGATGCGTCTATGCACCCCCCCACGGTCAAGGCCGCTGACGCGCCATGCTTCTCATGGCACTTGAGGCCGCCGCCATTGTGGCCTGCTCCTCGTATTTCGGTAGCCGCCGCCAGGGACCTGTCGTGCTTCTCCCGCCGAGGCTGTGACGGGATCTGCAGGACTCCTCTTCGCACGGCAACCGCCTATGCAGGGGGCTGGATGATGTGGTCGCCAATCTGAGTCGCACGGCTGCCGTAGGACCTGGCCCTCTCCATTGACGCCGCTAGTTTGCGGAGCTCCTCGTAGCGCGGTTGTTGCCGGTGCGAATGTGGGGGAGAGGGATCCGCCGGCGCCGGATGTGCGAGTGAGTGAGAGCGATGCTAAACTTAGTG